GAGGTGAATAAGTTGTTTATTATATGTTTTTTTGATTTGTTTTTTTGATTTGTTTTTTTGATTTGTTTTTGTGTGGGCATTACGGGAAAAATTGTAATGCCCTGCAATCAGAGCGCACATTACATCTGTTACAATCACAGGCCATATAATAATGTGTTTTTAAAAATGCTAGGTTCGATTTCCGCCTCTTTCTCAAGTCCGGTCTACGTTCCCTGAGAAGAGATGGCTGGATGCGTGAGTGGCAAAGCATGTCTGAGACGTAAATTCATAATTAAATTAATGTGGCGCTTCAGGTGGCCGGAAATGTCATCTGATGACAATCATAGGCAGGCCCACATGACGCCTATGGCTTGTAAAATTTGTGGTATTTTCGCCACTTCCTCTTTTAATTTTGGCCTTCTGACCTTTTTTGTTTCACATTGTTGCGGAATACATGCAGTTACATGCTGTGTTATATAGAAGACTTTTTTTTAAAAAAAGTAGAGCAGAGCTGTTCGACTATGGTGTAGCAACTGTCATGTCAAAGGTCACACATAAGTCGTATGGTGTGTACATGTGTGGTGTTGACACCATGTTTATGTTTTGCTAGTTCGGATTGCTTTGGCTCATTTAAAAATTTATTTTGGACTGGCTTCGCCAGAGACTGGTGTCACTTCCCGTCAAGAAGACTATCGTACGCATCACTTTGACTGAGTGCTTTGTTTCTTGAGATCAATGTTTGCATTTATCCCTCTCTTTGTTCGTTATCTGACATTCTGGCACCACATAATTCAAATATAGATTCTAACGCATAAGTCTGCTGACTATTTTCCGTGTTGTATATGCCACTATGCTTTAGCCTGTGTCGTAGACAGTCTAAACTGCCGGACTATATCAGGGATTTTATGACACGTCTGGCTGCAACACAGGCTACTATGGTTTAGATCAGGCAAGATTTCATCAGTTGATGGTATTTGGTTAAATGTCCCACTAATGTGATGGTACTTCATATTGCACGACTTCTTTGCTACTGCGAGAAAGCTAATTTATGCAGCCTGCTCGATTCTGGCAGGCAGATTTCTTATTGGTTGAAATTAACAATGCCAAGTCCACGAGTCCAGCCGTGAGTTCGGGGGAGGAGTGCGGGCTCCTCTCCTGAACAGCAGCTGGTAATCAAGCCTATAAAAATGCCTGAGTTTCAGAAATCAATTGTTTGAAGGAAACTAACCATTCTTTACATTATTTGTACATTTTGTTGATGAAAAATGTCAGTTAATAATCTCAGACATGTAGTCATCGTCACCACCATCTTCCAAGTCAGAAATATCTACTTTGTCGTCAGAAACATCCCTGATGCTTTCCAGGACATCATTGACTGTAAATCTACTCATAACTAGCAAGAGAACTCTTGCTAGACACTCGAAAAGATACTTGTGGCACAACCAAGATGGCGGCTGGCATTGACTTGATATGACAAATAATGTGTGGCACAAAGTGAAGATTCAAACATCATACATTTCTCACCAAATGTATTCTTTGTTACCAGGCCCTTATATGTTTAATTATATGCGGTTTCATTGTTTTCACAGTGTGCTTAAGTTTTCATACTTGTAAATGCGATACTTTAGGACGTACTGAGTACGTCCTTGTAGCATGTGTGTAATCTGAGACAGACTCAGTACGTCCTTGTAGCAGTGAAGGGGTTAAACATGGCCAGGAGTGTGAGTCATATCTGGTAAAATGACTAACTTCCCAACTTTCACTACTGGAAGTAAATAAATGAAAACAAAGTGACAAAGCAATAAAACTAGGGCAATTTTCATATGTTTTTCACATGATTTTCACAAACTTTTCATGTTTCTTTCTCATGCATAAGAAATATTATATCATATGAAAGGTTTCTGAAAACTTTGATGTCAGTTTATGTCAGATTCTTAATCGACATATGGTATCACTGCTTGGATTGGCCAACATGGTTGGCACATGCCTGGAATACTCCTTGAAAAACTGCTAGGTCCTTGAAAACTCCTTGAAAATGATTTTCTCCTTGAAAACTCCTTGAAGTTGAAGAAGCAGTGCTTGAATTTTATGAAAAAGCCTCGAATACTTGAGAATACAGCAAAATAAGTTCGTTTTGACATCAAAAGATTAAAAAGATTGCGTATAACATCTAACATCAGTTGAGAAACTCAGTTATTGTCTCAAAATGGCGAAGCCTTTAATAGCAGGACAATTCAGTGTTTCTCATTCAAAGCATATAAGTAACTGCACCTTCAATGGGGTTTCCCAGGTGTATTGTGTAGGCCCCGTCTAAGCAAATAAAACCACCAGGGAAATGTAGCTTGAAGTGTGAAATTTATTTGACTCTAGTCCTGTTTATTGTGTCTTCAATGAATTCAAAAGGTCAAAGAGGAAACCGCTTTTATAATCGACAGTGGGAACTTAATTCCAAGTACAAAGGTTGGTTGGGGTGTCTGGAAAACCAGAATAGTGAATAGTCGTGAACAGCGAATAGTCCCGAATAGCGAATAGTATGAAGTCTCGATTAGTGCGAATAGTGTGGAGCAGTCTCGAATAGTGGCAAATAGTGGCAAATAGGTTACCCAGTATCTCGCAGTCAACCTCACAGCAATGTAGGATGGGATTTTCTCGCTAAAAAGCACAGACGCTTATCAGGACAAAAAGAGTTTCTGAATGTAATTACTTCTGTTTTAACTGCTGCAAAAGCGTTAATTCGTCTTTATTAGGTCATCCTTGTGTTTTCTGTTTTCTTAATGTCAGTGATGGACAGCCCTAGCCTGAGTCTGGAGAAGAAAAGGTAATAAATTCACTGAAATTCTGTTGCTTATTTGGATAATTAATTAAGGCAGGACATGAGATCTAAAGCGGTGACTATTGACGACTACCTGTATT